ACAAATTTGCATTTGGTTTTGTGGAAATTGGCATTTATATTCATAAAATCTTTAATTTATGTTCATTATTTATCTACATGGTATTTATAAAAAATGTGATAAGTGAGCATAGAGGGTGCTTTTTTGGTAGAAATATATATTAGTATTTGAAAAACCTCCATTTATATTCGTCAATCTCAATTTGTGTTCGTAGAATTGTCTACATATGCGACAAGTGAACACTGATGGCGCTCTTCGGTATTGACTTTGATTCAATCTGTAGCCTGTCGGTCCTAACACGAATATTAATGGGGATTACACAAATACAATTATTTTAAACATTATAGAAACATACAAATGGCTTGCAAAGGTTGTAAACTTTGTTAAATTTAATTTAACTGATCATATATCTGATACTACTTTCGACACTTTCCAGTTTTATAGTTTCAAAAATAGAACTGACATCATCATAGAATGCAGTACAGCATGTAAAAAGGAATAAATTAGAATGTGTTCGGATGATGTGTTTACAAGTACAGATTATGTCAAGGGACTATGTCACTCATTTTGTTTTAATTCTTTTCACCAAACTCAGATAAATGAAAATATTATCAAACAAGCCATGCATGGCACAGTCCCCGTTAGTTATCAAATTTAAGATATATAGTTTTGTTTATAGTAATATAGCTGGAATATAACCATGTCAGGAATATGATTTTTTAACATTAAAATGATTGACATTTGTATCTGATCGTCAAACAAGTACAAGAGAGATATTGCTCTGGAACAGCATTCAAAATCAGTCATTTTGAATACATGTATATATATATATAACATGATGTATAACGAATATATAAAATTTGAATATAATCAGTCAAAGCATTTAAGCGATATGGCTCTAGAAGCCCAATCATTAAAACAAAATGGCCGCCAGTCAGCCATTTTCAATCCAATCTGAAAAATAAAATGACGTGCATCAGGAACCTGTAATGTCTAATGTATGTTATAAGTTTGAACAAAATCCATCCATAAATGCAAGAAATTCTTGATATTTGAGGATTTTTTTAGTACAAAAATAGCCATCATTTGGCCACTTTGAAAAGGATCATCAAACCAATATATTCGTATATCTATGACAAGATGTAAAATGAATTTTAAAAATTTGAACATAATCAGTCAAAACAAGTCAGACATATGGGTTTGGAAACCCACTCAATAAAACAAAATTACCGCCAGACAGCCATTTTGAATCTGATCTGCAAAATAAAATGATGTGCATCAGGAACCCGTAATGTCTAATGTATATACCAAGTTTGAACAAAATCCATCTGTAAACAGCCGAGAAATGCTTTATTTTTTAGCACAAAAATGGCCGCCATTCGGCCATCTTTAATCAGATCATAAAACAAAATGGTGTGCATCAAGGTCCTATAATGTCCAACGTATATACAAGGTTTGAACAAAATCCATCTGTAAACAGCCGAAAAATGCTTGATTTTGATGATTTATAGAACAAAATGGCCACCATTCGGCCATCTTGAATCAGATTGTAAAACAAATTGACGTGCATATGTATAATATCATGGATAATGTATGTGAGTTTGATTGTGATTGGTCCAGGCATTTCTAAGATACAGGTTCGGACACACGCATGTACAGACACACGGAGGTCAAAACATAAGTCTCGTTTGAAATAGGTCAAACAATGTTAAAAATAGGTCAAACATCAATAAAAATGATTATGATTATTGTATTTTACAAATTTCTTATCCTATAGTGAAAACACTTGTATGATGTTATGGACACTGTTATGAATATTTATAATTGTTATGATATGACCAGCATTATGATCAATCTCATCACATCTCTGACAATGTCTTCACACAATTTTTCGTGTTCTTTGTCAAGTTTCATAGCAACAGATGAAGATATTTCATCACGGAACAAGTTTTTTTTTCAACACTTTGAACACTACACTTCTCATCTTTGTTAATTATGCTCATAATTGACTGCATGCCTAATAAATTTTTTTGAACAAAATATGATAACAACTACCAGTATGCAAATTTAAATGGTAACAGAAGTTAATTCCTACTCACTAGTTACGAGTTTTTCTCCCAAAATATATTTTGATAAATTTCTGTCTTTATTTGATGGAATGACTCTTTGAAATGTAAATAAAGATACAACCTCTTATTTATTTTAAGGTACAAAGCATGGAAGGGAAATCAATTTAACCCCACCCAGGAAATACATTGGAATAACAATGTTGACACTAACGCCAAGTATAATATATGAGCTGGACCAACGAATGACTGATTTTCCAGTTGTAAAAAGTGGTGTCTTCGTACATAGTGTCACGGTTGGATCACCCAGTCATGTGTAAGTGGTGCATAAGTAGGAATGTCTGTTTTAGTACTCAGATGAGATATAGTATGATGGCCTCAGTACTAGGTCAAGGCTTGCAACAGAAATGAAATTACTCTCTGTATCTGCACACAACATTTACCTGGCTACAATGTCTGTGTCATGGTAGCCACAATGCCTGTGTCATGGTAGCTACACTGCCTGTGTCATGGTAGCTACTATGTCTGTGTCACGATGGCTACTATGCCTGTGTCATGGTAGCTACAATGCCTGTGTCATGGTAGCTACTATGTCTGTGTCACGATGGCTACTATGCCTGTGGCACGGTAGCTACACTGCCTGTGTCATGTTAGCTACAATGCCTGCGTCATGGTAGCTACTATGCCTGTGTCACGGTAGCTACAATGCCTGTGTCACGGTAGCTACAATGCCTGTGTCATGGTAGCTACTATGTCTGTGTCACGGTAGCTACAATGCCTGTGTCACGGTAGCTACAATGCCTGTGTCACGGTAGCTACAATGCCTGTGTCACGGTAGCTACAATGCCTGTGTCACGGTAGCTACAATGCCCGTGTCATGGTAGCTACTATGCCTGTGTCATGGTAG